CTGTTTACTGAAGATTGTCCGCGGACGATAGTCACATGTGAAAGCGAAAGACGTGTGGTTTCAAGCTGTCAGGGTTGTTTTTTAATAAAGCTACAGATAACTGGCATGGCTTCTGTTTGTTTCCATTGTATTGGCTTTGCAAAGCTGTCAGTCACACTTGTCAGCCTGTGGGTTTCTGCCAGCACTGAGGTTTGGCTCAGGTGAGTAGCCTCAGCCTGAGCCTTTGCAAAGGTGTGTCGCAGTGTATTATGCTCCCATAGTTTTGGTTGCCAGGTGACCATGGATGTTTCTAGTGTGATCAGATGGCTTTCCCTGTCTGGTTCTCACAGTTGTGTTTAGACTTTGATGAGAGATTTATAACGCTGGAAATTATCACTGTGGGTTCCCTACTACCATACTATTTACCATGTTAGTAAAAAAGATTTAGTGTGTTCCAATACATAATCTGTCAAATGCAGCAATCCAAAAATACCAGGATGTCCTACTGCATCCAGTCGCATTTTTTGCAGTCTGCAGCCCAGCATGCTGGGTTATTCTGACAATCCTCTGTGCAGCGAAAGAAATGTCACTTCAACTGAGCTGAGACAGATGACATAACTATGAAAATGACAACAACAGAACAATGTATATTTATTTTTCTGTCGTGAATATAATACTGCATGTAACAGACATTACAAAGCAACAACAGCAGACACAGTGGGGTTTTGTTGCGTCTCCAACATCTCTTAAGTAATATAGCAGCCATTCCAAATCACACAAATTTCGCACTACGACTGCAGCATATGTATGCTCAAGAAGGTCAAAGTTCAAAGGTCAATGTTATGATGAACTACTTTTACTAAAAGTAAAAAGAAGTATGTGATTTGAAACACAGCAGAAGTGTACGATCCTTCTCTTCTCTCTTGACAATTGTTTAACATAAAAAGTCAAGAAAGTATGACAGATAGAAGAAACATGAAGACTATATGGCCTTTATAGGGGCAATTCAGTAATTTAGTATTGCAACATATGGCTGGGGGAAAAGAAGGATCAAAATTGTTTCAACAGAGACCAACATTTCCTGTTTTTTTACTCCCTAGAGTAAATTTAAAAAATGCCCAAAAGTCAGAGTCAACTGTACTCTCACCACCCCAGACCCCTGCCCCAACCATCTCCCAATAGCACTAGTTTAATGTATGTTTTACATTAGTATGAGTCTTTCTATAAGTTTCTCTTTTCCTTCATTTAAACTTCAACCTGAAATATTTACTGCATATCCCAATTTGTCTCAGTTAGCAATGGAAGTATTTATTGTAGACAAAGTGTGTTTTTTTGTGTTTGCAATGGTGTGTGTCTGTGTGCATGTAAACACTTGCACGTGCTAATGCAGCCCGGCTGTCATTCTTCCAAGTTCATGTGTCACTGGAGGGTATAAACTGCTGCAAGTTGAGTGACAGCTCTGCGGTTTTTGTCCAAACTCTGATGCAGAGGAGAAGTGGTGATAAATGGGAAGTTGTCTCCCAATCTGTCTTTATCTCTCTGTCCCATCATTGTTCGCATAACTCTTTCACTGTCATTTTTTCAGCATCTCTTTGCCCCTTTTGCACTTTTGCACTTATGTCTTAGTCACAGTGATGCAGTAAGCGTTGGTCGGCAACGCAGGAATGTCCTTCCAGGCGAGATTATCCTCCTGTAAGTTTACGCAGACAGACAGCTGCCCCCTTTATTACCTACTACCTACTTAAAAAAAAAAAATAAGAAAATAAGTGAGCTCTGAAATATACCAAGTAAAACCACAAAAACTTCATGGACTTCATATGACCAGATTCTCCACAATACAGATTTTGTTTTTGTGTCAACAGCATGCTCCCAGTATGAAATGTTTTCAGTTTTAGCATAGTAGCTCCATAGTGTTCCACGCTATCTTTATCAATAAAATCTCAGTCATCTTCGTATATTGACAGATTGGAGAGATTTCCATCTATGAGCTGTCAGCCTCTTGGCAACTCT